AAGCTGGCGGCCGGGCTGGCCGGCCTGCGCTGGAGCATGGGCGCCTTCCCGCTCGACCTCATCGTCAGCCGCTGCCGCCTGCCCACGCTCGCCTGCCTCGGGCCAGGTACCGGGGTGCGGGGGAGGGCGGCTGGGGGTCCGCGGGGGAAATCGGGGACTCTCGGGGCAGGTGCTGGGGGATGGGGGGGGCGTGAGGATGTGGCCTCTGCCCTCCCGCTCCCGGCGCCGGTCCCGCGCAGCTCCCGGTGCGCCTTCCCTGGAGACCCGGGGCCCGAGAGCCGAGGGTCCGCCGCCTCCTCCTGGGCCCTGCGCACGGGCACCGGGACAGAAATCCGGGACAGGCACTGAGGCCCGGCCGGGACAGAGTTTTCCGGGCCAGCTAGAACCCGGAGCGCGGCGGAGGCCCCGCGCCCGCCCCGTCGTGCATCCCTTTCCCTGCCGCGCTTAGACCCCCGCCCGGGCCGCGCCCCCTCCGTCCCTTTGTCTCCCGCCTCTCACCTCGATCCTCCCGCATCCCTTGGGCCTCCGACTCTGTCTTCCCACCGCCGCCGCCCCCCAGCCCTGCTTGGCCCCTCTTGGGACCCTTCTTGCACCTTCCTTTCGCGTCCTGGGGAGCAGTCTGCGGCCCCAGGCGGGCAGGCCACTTCGGGGAGAGACCCGAATGATTGGCCCTCCCGCCGGGCGTGCCCCCAAGTCCCCGGCCCTCCCCCACATCTTGCCCCACTTCCCAGGGGCGCGGGTGCTCTGCCGATGGGACTCTGCATGGGGGCCCGAAAGGGGACGCCTGGAGGCTGCACGGAGTGAGGGGACCGTTTGGAGGAAGGGGAGCTGCTCGGCTGGAGGAGGGGCGGGAGCCGGGGCTGGCAGCCAGGCCGGGGGTTTTGTGTGTGAGAAGAATAGGGGTTTGGCCCGCGTTGGCACACTCGCTTCCCTGAATGCTAATGGGGCCCGCGGCCACAGGCTCCTCTCCTGTCCTTGGGGCCCGCGGCCCCTCCTCCGACCGCGGCGACGAGTGGGCACCGTGAGCCTCAGCGCGTTTCGCGAGCGCACTGCGTGGCGGCGTCCGTGCCCAGGCCGTCGGACAGAGGGGCTCAGCCGCCCAGCGTCTTGTTCTCCGGGTCGTCGGCTGTGATCCCGAGACCGTCCGTGTCAGCCTCAAGGCTGTATGTGTCTGCCTGTGAATGGGCTGAGCGGGCCCTGGGTTCTGCCTGGCCACTTCCCACACATCCTCTTGGGCACCTCTCCCTCCTGGGGGTCCTTTCTAAGCTCCCCGGTCTGGGCAGGCCTCTTTTGGACTCCCATGACCCCTCTGGCACCCCTGACTTGAGTCCTGTGCACCCATTGTAATAGCTTATTGTCTTAACGCTGGGCTGCATCCTCCTTGAAGGGAGACATCCTGCTTAATAAAGATTATGGACTTACTGACCCAATGGATGAATGCATGGACAACTGGTGATGGTCTAGCTGTGACCGTGGGGGCTGTGGCTGTGGTCACCATGAGTGTGGCTATGCGAACAAAGTATGTCTTGAAGTCTTAAAGGTCCTTGTATGCCTCTGCGTTTGGGAGGGGCCCCTTAGTGGGGCTGTGGGACTGAGTTGTGTCAGTGGGGTGACCAGCTCCTGTCTGTCACTGGGCCAGGTGGCTGTGCTGCCTCGACTGTTGGGACCGTGACCCGTGGCTCTTGGTGTGTGCCCTGTGTGGTGGTGGCCCGTGTCCCTGTGGAAGGGTGGGCCGGGGCGCAGGAGAGCTTTCTCTGCCCCCGGAGGGGAGGGCTCCAGGAGGAAGGTTCAGACCCCCTCCAACACAGTGGGAGCCAGGCCCTCCCCCAAGCACCTGAACACATCCTCCCCACACACTTCATGGGGCCCTCAGGCATCAGGATAAACCACTTCCCATTCGGTTGGGTGGCAGCAATTTAGTCAGTTGTGTCTGAGAGGGCTGGGAAGGAGGCGTCCCCCACCCCCCCTGCCCACCAGCTGCAGCCAGGAGGCCGCTCCGGCTCCCCTGGAAACCGTTGCTGGGATTGGAGCCTCCTGGGCCCAGGCCCCTCCCAACACCTCTGCCCCAGTGCAGCTTCCCCCAGAACTAGGCCCCCCCTGAAAGCCACCCCCCCCCCAACCTCATCACAGTGTTCCAGAGACTGGGAGGGTGAAGGGCTGACAAAGGGCGGGCCAAGAAACAGCCTCTCTGCGAGGGGCTAGGGGGTATCTGAGACTTTCCTCCCTCTCTTTTGCGATCCCCTGAATGTAGGAATTTCCTGGGGCAATGCGTGTAAAAGGGCTGCCCATGAGAGAGGCAGGAATCAGCTCCTCCAAGCCCTGTTCTTCTTCTGACTCGAGTGATGTATGGTGCTGGGGGGAGCCCTCAGCTGGGACTCACAACGGACAGCCCTGTCTCAGCCCTGTCTGTGCCTCCAACACAGATAGGGCTGGGACAGGCCTCCTTGCCTGGCTCAGGCACTGACTTGGGGGCTGAGAACCCTGCTGGTGGTCCTGCGGGCCAGCTCTAGGGTCTGCTGCTCACCCCACCCCCGGCTAGTTTGCTGCTCCCCTCTGGGAGTGCCCAGACAACCTCCACTCAACGTCAAAGGTGGTCTGTTTTCTCCGTTCACATTTCTTCCACCTCCCCACGGGTCTAAGTGCTCCTGGAGGACACGGCTGGCAAATCTGCTGGGAGGTGCTCCTCCCCGCGCCCCCCCCACCCCCACCAGCCCCAGGGCCCCAAGCAGCACTGGGCCTGGGACAGCAGGTGAAAGACTCAGGACTATGGCTGGGCTGGTTGCTGGGGCCCTGTCAGGGGCGGGAATTGGCCCTGGGAGACGGGGCATGACTCACAGCCCTGAGGCCACAGCCGGCAAACTGCTTATCCCCTGAGCCTTGCTGACCGGGACAGGCTCATGGGGAGCTGCCCCTAGTCAGGGTCTTAGAGTAGTCAGCCTCCCTACTCTCTCTGCCCCTCCTGATGTTCGCTTTACCTTTCCCTCCTCTTCCGTCCTTCGCCTCCCAGGGGAGTATGCCGAGGGTGTCAGTGAGAGAGACATCCTGCTCATTCACTCCTGCCGCCAGTGGACAACAGTGACAGCCCATACCCTGGAGGAGGGCCACTACGTCATCGGACCCAAGATTGACATCCCCCTGCAGTACCCAGGTGTGCCCAGCCAGGGACAGATGACATAGAGCCGCTGGGGGGTGGAGGCAGGAGGGTAGGAGGTGGGGCTTGGGAGAAGCTGTTGGTGACCACCCTTTCCTTGGAGCCACAGGGCTGAGCCAGGGCCTGGCGGGCAGGGGGCGGTTAGGGTTAGGGTCCAGTGGTTTTCATACTGTTCTGGGAAGTCCTGGTTTTCTTGTTGAAAACCTTTGATTCACATTTTATTTTAAAATAGATTTTAAACAACTGATTAAAAAAAATACCCACACTCTCAGATTGCTAGGAGTCAAACCTTAAGCCCAGCGAGAGACCTGGGCTGTGTTCCGTGAGCTGCCTCATTAAGCCTGTTTGGTACAGACCCTCAAGGAGAACACGGCCAGGATCTTCTCAGTGGCGTGCAACCAAAGCCCTTCAGAAGCAAAGGGATGCTTGGGCTGAGTATCTGGCTGCCCCTGCCCACTGTAATCCTGTTCTTCCCAATTTTTGTGTTAAATTCGCTGTTTTCATTGATTGACTTTATAAGTGAATGTTAATGTTTTAGACTTTTAAATAAGATTACGCTAATGAACTACTTTTATCTTTTATACATATGATGTTGATCTACATCAGATTTTGTTTGAAGAAAGGATTCTGCTGCTGGAGAGGGAAAATACAGCCCTTGTATTTTACACATGATAAAACAGAGGGTTTAAGAGGGAAGGGACTTGCCCAGGGTCACACGGCTAGTAAGAAGCAGAGCATGGGCTAGAACCCCAGTAACCTGACTCCTGGGCTGGTGCTTGCTTGCACCACACCAGCAATGCAGGGTTGTCGTCACCTGGGTGGGAAGGATGGGAATCTGGTGGCTCCATCCCAGCGAAGCCCCCATGTGAGCCCACGACCGCACAGCTCCTGTGTGTTAAACCTATGGCTGCCTTCCAGACACTGAGCTGAGCATTTCATCATTTTATCCCCACGGCCACCCTGTGAGAAAGTCTTATTAATTCCATTTAACTCACAAAGTGAGGCTCCAGGAACTCCAGTAGCTTGCCCCCCACCCCCAGCCCTTCCTGAACCAGGGGGGACAGGACTAAGACAAAGGCTTCTGCTCTTTACAACAACACTGCGAAGTTGGTACCCCCACAGTCCTCACAGCCCATTTAAAAGATGAGAAAACTCTCTCAGGTTCTTTCTGACCTGGGGTTCTGTCCTGAGCCCTGAGCCCTTGAGAAGGCCTGCTTAGAAGCTAGAAACTTCCCAGGCTGGGTATCTATCTGGTGTTCGTCCAGGAAGAGGTCTCAGGTCTTCTTGGGATAAAAAAGCAAAAATTGGAAAAAGCCCTCACTGACAGAAGTGTGACTTTACTTTCCTATTTCAGTTGTGTGATTAAGAATCCGGGCAACCAAGGCACAGAACCTTCTAGGGAAGAGTGAGAGCAGGAGGCTTCTAGCCCTTCCCCTATGTCTTTTGGTGCCCCTGAGTGCATGTGGACCCTGTGGTCATGAGGTGACAGCTGGCCTGTAGGAGAGGAGCATCCCCATCAGCATCTTTCCAGTGGGTGGCTCGGTGGGGGAGGGGAGGCCAGGCCCCTTAGGAGTAGGAGGGGCGGGGTAAGGAGGAAGCTGAGAGCACAGCCCAGTTCCTCCTAATGAATTAATAATAGGGTGGGCGGGGGCAGCAGCTGCGGACCGGAGGGCCGCGGGGGTGGGGAGTGCAGCCCGGCACCCGGGGAGTCCGGGGGAACCTGGCTGCTCTGAGGCAGCCCCCACCGCCCCGAGTGCGGGGCCAGGTGGCTCTGGTCAGCGGCGGCTGGCACACGGGGCGCTAGGCCGTATGCTTCCATTTCACAGATGGGAAAACTGAAGCCTACAGAGAGTAAATAGGTTGCCTAAGGTCACACAACTGGTTGGTGCCAGAGATGGGATACAACCGGGTCTGTCCACCCCCAAGTGTGCACATTTACCCATCATTCTTGAGGGAACGGCTGCCGGGGTCGGGTGCTGGGAGGAGGGGAGATAAGCAGGGCTGCCTCGGGCTGGACGGGACGCCAGGCAGCACACATGTGTTCTAGGAGGGGAGGGCAGGGAGCAGGGGCAGGCGGGGGGCGGGGGGGCAGCTCCCTGGACCTGCGGGGGTCTCGGGCCGGGGGAAGGCAGGAGAAGAAGCTGCAGGGGGGAGTAAAGGCTCCCAGGGGCTAGCGCCTCACTCCCGGGAGGGTTCCCTTCCTTCCTTCCTTCCTCCTGCAGTAATGACCGGTGCCGGGCTCAGGCTGCGGCCGAGGGGGTGGTGCCGGCTACCATGGTTACATCGATCCCCGGGCCACATCCTCCCCCGGCTGCAGCCCTGACTTGGCTCCGGCTCTCCCCACAGGAGGCAGCGGGCATTTCGCCCCGCATGGCTGCTTGGGGTGGGGGGGTTTGGGGGGTGGGGGGGACACCGGGTGAGGGAGGGGCAGCGCTCCCGGTGGGAAGGTAGCCGAGGTGCAAGTCCTGCCACCCGACCCCCAGACGGCTGTTCCCTGCTGGGCCCCTCCCCCGGCATCCCTGCTGCCCTCAAGGGCTGAGGCACGTCTTCATTCGAGGGTCTCAGAGTGGTGGGGGCAGGACTCCCTCCGGGGCACCTGCCCTTCTCTTTCTCCGCTCTCACTTCTTTCCTGCTTCTAGATGCTCATGGAGTCTGTCCTTGGCCCTTCGTGTTTCCTACTCAGCACTGGGGAGGCCCGGTGGGGGGTCCTCAGTCTGGGATTCTGGCTGGGTTTTGGGGAATCCAGGACCCCCCACACTGTATACAAAATGGTGTTTGTGTTCATGCCAGGAGTTCGCTGTGGGCATTTTTCTGGGAAGAGGGTTCCCAGAGCGTTAAGATCTTCTGTTCTTCTTTCCTTGAGCTGTCTTCCCTGCCCTAGGAAGACTCCACCCGTGGGCTGGTGACCTTCAGTCTGAACTTCTGACCAGGCATCCCCAAGCCCTGCCCCCGACCCCCCCAGGAGCACCCCTTCCTGGCCTCCCACCCCCTCAGTTGGCCTCCTCAGGACTGGCTCCAGCCCCACAGCATGTTACTTCCGGGTCCCCAGTTTCGCTTAGCAGCTCTGCCAGCTCCATTTTTTTTTTCTTTTTTTGTCTCCTTTTTTTCTTTCTTGTAGTTTCAAGTTTTTATTTAAATTCCAGTTAACGTACGGTGTAATATTGATTTCAGGTGTGGGATTCATCACTTACATACACCCCCTGGTGCTCATCACAAGTGCCTTCCTTAATCCCCATCACCCATGTGGCCCACCCCCTGCCCACCTCTCTCTAGCAACGCTCAGTTTGTTGTCTAGCATTTTTTCTTTAAAGATTTTATTTATTTATTTGAGAGAGAATGAGAGAGCACATGAGAGGGGGGAGGGTCAGAGGGAGAAGCAGGCTCCTCGCTGAGCAGGGAGCCCGATGCGGGACTCGATCCCGGGACTCCAGGATCATGACCTGAGCCGAAGGCAGTCGCTTAACCAACTGAGCCACCCAGGCACCCTGTTGTCTAGCATTAAGAGTCTGTTTTGCCAGCTCTATTCCTGCTAGGCGTGGTGGCCCGAGTCCTCTCCTCCCCTGCCTACTCCTCATCTGCCACCCCAGGCTTCCTTCCACGTACCCCTTTGTTCGATTTCGCTCTTCCCCCAGCCACCGTCCGGGCTCTGCTGCAGAACAGTCCCTGGCCGACTGACTTGACCGGCCGGCCGCCCACACTTTCTTTACAGAGCTCAACTTGGATCTTGGCATTTCCTTGCTCAAAACACACTGTAATTGCTTTCATTTCTTTTTATTTTCTCTTTCTTTTTTTTTGGCGGGGGGGTCGGATGACCCTTTATTGAAATACTTTCCTTTTTGGTCCTTAACTAGCGGGGCATTCTGCTGCACTGCTGTTGATGCCGACTATGAGGTCACGAAGGTGACAGCCATCAACATTGCGGCCTACAGACTGGGCAGTCCCCAGGATCTCTTGAATGGTTCCGGAGAGTTCTCTAGCTAATGATGCGTGCCACTTCCGTGGGGCAGTGTTGACAATCTCCTGAAAAGTGATGTTTCCACTGTGATTCAGGTCTTTCTGCTTCTTTCTGTCTCTTAGTGGTTCATTGAGGGCTTTGATGATCAGAGCAGAGGGCAGAAGGTACCAGTTCAATCTGGGCCTGTCTTGAATGGTCAGGGTCACTGTCCACCTCAGACCCTTGTAGTCACCACTGGTTCGGGCGATGTCCTCACTCACCTTATTTGGAGACAGACCCAGGGGCCAATCTTGGAGGCCCAGCAGACATGGCCCCAGCTTTCCCACCAGTGCACCTCAGGTATAAGACTTTGATCTCGGGTGCCTGGGTGGCTCAGTTGGTTAAGCGACTGCCTTCGGCTCAGGTCATGATCCTGGAGTCCCGGGATCGAGTCCCGCATCGGGCTCCCTGCTCAGCAGGAGCGTGCTTCTCCCTCTGACCCTCCCCCCTCTCATGTGCTCTCTGTCTCTCTCATTCTCTCTGTCTCAAATAAATAAAATCTTTAAAAAAAAAAAAAAAGACTTTGATCTCATTGGGATTGAATTTAGGAGAAAAAGCTAAAAAGCCGAAAGCTCATTTCTTCCTGCGTAGAATCCTTCCGCCTTAGTCTGGCGTTCAGAGCCTTTCATCACCCGGATGCTACTTCCCCGGCTGTCGTCCCCTTCCTCAAGTCCTGGGCACAGGCACTCCCCTGTCGGGCCCAGGGCCGGCAGTCTGCTCTCCTGACTCGGGTTTGCACCAGTTCTTCCATGTGGGACGGTCTGTTCCATAAAACTCTTCTCATTCTCAGGATCCCCTCAGGCCGCCAGGCAGGTTCCCACTCACTCCGCGGTCCTCTGGCTCTCTAGTCCCGGGTCCCCACCCGCCGGTATTGGGCGCTCACTGTCACACCCACTCTGTCCGAGTCCCTGGGTTTGCACCCTCTGGCAGGTCTAGCCCAACATCTGGCACACACAGAGGGAGCTCCATAACTGGGGAATGAATAAATGCTTGGACCATGACTGCAGCAACCACCTCCAGGAAGGCTATGGAAGCTAAAGAGCCACCTTGCCTCCTCTTGGCCTGTTGTCCCCTCACCTAAGATTCCCCTCTGTCTGTGGAAGGCCTGAGAAGAGGGTATCCGTCCACATGTCCAGGATTTTCGCAGCCTGTCTTTGTGCTCTTGTAGGTGGGCACATTACACGTGTGTGGCCAGTGAGGTAAGACCATTTACACAAGGGTGTCAGCTTCATGGATTAGCCTCCTTCTTTGGAAGTCCGTGTCTGCTGGGGGCATCCGCCGAGCCAGCCAAAACAGCCCTAGACTGCAGGCTCGGAAGGCCGCCTCTGAGGGATTTTGCTGGGCTCTGGTCAGAGGTCTCTGGGACGGTGCGGCTGGATGTTGGACCAGGGCGGGGTCTGGGAACAGAGCTGGAGTCTGAGCAGCTCTCCTGGGGCCTCCAAGGCCTCGGGCTGAGCCCCCGGCCCGCCCAGTGCATCGCTATGGAGCAGCCACCCAAGGTCGACGCGTTGGATGCCAGATCTAGACAGGACCCCAAAGCCCCTGCTCCAGCACCCTCACATGAGCACCCAGAGAGGGGAAGGGGCTTGTCTAGGGTCACAGCAAGTCAGAGTGGGGCTGGGACAAAGCTAGGAGCCTGCATCTCCTGTGCACACTGATGCTTGGTTAGAGGCCAGCTCTGTGTGCAAGTGTTCGGCTGCCTCTTTGCACTCGGATTTCTCTGGGCAGGCAGCTGCTAACCTCCTCACCCACCCACAAGCTCTCCGTGGGGTTCCAGATGCTAGGTCTGTGCTCTCCTTTGCCCTTGAGCCAGCTGACCAGCCCCTTCCACCTCCTGTGGGTGCAAACCTGCCTTTCTGCCCGCCGGAGTTCCAGCGGGGCTGGCTGAGGTGAGGGTAGCAGGAAGTAGGGACTAGCAGGCAGGCCTGCCCTAGCAGCCTGTGTTCCTCCTTTGTAGGGAAGTTCAAGCTCCTGGAGCAGGCCCGGGATGTGCGGGAGCCAGTGAGGTACTTCAGCAGCGTGGAGGAGGTGGCCAGCGTCTTCCCTGACCGCATCTTTGTGATGGAAGCCATCACCTTCAGCGTCAAGGTCAGTCCTTGCCACACCAGGCAGGATGCCCCATCGTTGGTTGGAGGGTTGCCCTCAGGTAGAAGGTCAGTGTGGCTCCTGGCAGCTCCCCGACGGCATTTGGCACGATTGGCCATATCAGAAGAGCTAGGTGTGTGACCCACTGGCCTGCAGAACTTTCTGGAAAGGTGGTGAGGCAGGAGTAAGTGTGGAGCATCAGGCCCTGACTTGGAGGCCTTCAGGGCAGCCTGTCCTAGCGTCCACTGGTAAGGGGTAGTTGTTGGGGTACACAATACCAACAGGCCCCACTTGTGTACAGATCGCTCTTTACTGTTTACAAACCCTTATCCATCAATTCATTTCTCTTCACAGTAGCCTTGTTGAGTGGGTGGAGCATTATTCCTGCCCAAATTGTAAAGATAACGATAATAAAATTGTCATTTATTGGGTATTTTCAAAGTAGGTCACTGTACGTACAGCAATTCTTCCAACTAAGAGTTATTGCATGAGGCAACTAGGCCCCAGAGGTAGCTCATTTAAGGTTGCACAGCTGCCATGTGGCCTCTCCAGGAGGGAAGGTGGGTCCCCGACCCCCCAGTCCAGTGGTCTTGATCGGGTTTCAGCCCGGGGAACGCGCCCCCCCACCCCCACCCCCCGCCGGGAGCCTCAAAGGGCGGCTTTCCCTGGGGCTCTGGCTAAGGCCTCGCCGTGTTCCTGGCCTCCGCAGGTGGTGTCGGGCGAATTCAGCGAGGACAGCGAGGTGTACAACTTCACGCTGCACGCGGGCGACGAGCTCACTCTCATGGGCCAGGCGGAGATCCTGTGCGCCAAGACCACCAAGGAGCGCTCGCGCTTCACCACGCTGCTGCGCAAGCTGGGCCGGGCCGGGGCGCTGGCCGGGGTGGGCGGCGGCGGC